CTACTAGGGGCTCCTGGCCTTACTACTAGGAGCAAGGACGCTACTAGCGGCTCCTGGCCTTACTACTAAGGGCCGGGACGCTACTAGCGGCTAGGGGCTCCTGGCGTTACTACTAGGAACAAGGATGGACGCTACTAGCGGCTCCTGGCCTTACTACTAGGAGCAAGGACGCTACTAGGGGCTCCTGGCCTTACTACTGCAAGCAAGGACGCTACTAGCGGCTCCTGGCCGTACTACTAGGAGCAAGGACGCTACTAGGGGCTCCTGGCATCGCTACTAGGAGCAAGGACGCTACTAGGGGCTCCCTGCATCCCTGCTACCGACTTTGCATGCTCCTAGTAGTAAGGCCAGGAGCCCCTAGTAGCGTCCTTGCTCCTAGTAGTCAGGCCAGGAGCCGCTAGTAGCATCCTTGCTCCTAGTAGTAAGGCCAGGAGCCCCTAGTAGCGTCCTTGCTCCTAGTAGTAAGGCCAGAAGCCCCTAGTAGCTTCTTGTTCCTAGTAGCACAAAAGAAAGCAGCAGAGACATGAAGCGACAAAAGATGAAAAGGTTGGACAGATGACAAAAGATGAAACGACTTAAGACAAGGAGCTGTTTGACCCAGCCTCTTTGTGAACAGAGCTGTTTCATCGGACGACTGCGCACTCCGCAGGAGGAACGCACGGGCACCGACCTTTGGTTGTAGCCCATGCTGACCTGAGCCGTTTGAGTGTGGAGACTGGTGCCAAGGACGCGCAAAATGCGCCTTTGGACGTGCCAAAGAAAGAAAACAGGTGACGAATTGCAACTAGATTGCCCAAGAACGGCTGGCAGATTGTAGGGAACCTTTGCGGACCTTGCGCCTGCAATTTCTAGTGTGTTGGATTGTGTTGGTTTTGTTGTTAAGGGATGCACGCGGATGCACTGGGTTACGATGCCGCCACACACTTGAAAACTCACCAAGGTCGGTTGGACCTGATGCCTCGCCTGATGCCGGGTTGAGAAAAAGGCCCCCAGAAGCCATGAGACACCTGCATCATTTGGGAGCTGGGGAGACCTACGGAACCGACACTGCCGGGAGCAACAACTTGCTTTCAATGCCCAGCCGAGTTCAGCTCGGAGCAAGGACGCTACGAACGGAGCTCCTGGCATCGCTACTAGTAACAAAGAAGCTACGAACGGAACAACGGGCATCGCGACTCGAATGGAGCGATCGGACGCTACTGTCGCATCTCCAAACGCAAACCATAGATTCAATGATACGACAGTTTGGCCCACCTTCTATCGCGATGTACTTTGCTTACTCGCTGCAACCACATAAGAAGCTTGAGAGTGCAAATAACTCATAGTGTCTCCCATTCTTGAAGTCTAGCTGTGAAGGTCTTGGGACCACAAGCTTGCAATATCAATTTCTGAGGGCAAGTTTTTTGTGCATGCTTGGATCTTGCTTCATCCTCATTGCAGCTTTTGCTAACTCATTAGTCCATGGCCATAGCTGTATCAAACTTAAGTCTCTTTTTATCCGTTCGAGTCCAACCTAGGCGTGCCCAACCAAAGCAACAATCAAACCAAATCCATTCGTTTATTTGTTCTATCGACTCATCTCTTTGCCATCAGCCACAGGGCCCCCAGCAAGTCTGTTGCAGCAAGTTTTGCATGCTTGGATGCACTTTCTTCCCTGTCAATGCACACGCTTCGCCTCTGAGTGTGCACGGTTTGCCCGTTTCCAAATCGAAGTTGGGCGATTTTGTGCTCCCCATGCTGCCGTCTTATTCAACATGCAGTGACCAAACCTCCACCATTTCCAAGAGGTAAGCAGAGCCTCTATGTTAAAGAACTTGTCCACTTCCACTACTCCAAAGTATTGGATCTGCATGTGTCTTCCTTGTTTTAAAAGCCACTTGCCAACAGCTGCTAACCGTGACCATATCTCCCCGCACCTTCTCTGAATAGAAGTCTAGACTCTAGACTTATTGAAGTACAAGAGCCATGGTCTGCAAACTCATTGACCATTGCAGTGGTAAGACTCATGTAGTGTCTATTGCCCGTAGCCTTTCTTGCTCAAGGGTGAAGAAGACTGAGCTCCTTGCGGCCCTTGTGGCTGCACTGAGTCTAGGGGTTTCTTCACACAATGGCACGGAGGACATGTATGACAAAATCGTGGAGCTGTTGGCAACATATCCAAATAGGTTGCTGTGCGCAAGTGGGTGCCAGGCACCAATGGTTGCTCATTGTTCTTCCAAACTTCTACTGACCACTCATTGGAATGCCGGCAAGTCCTGACGACACTCTACTTCAACAAATCAATCCTAGCTTCCTTTTTAGAAACTACATCCTTTAATAGATCATATGTGTCATTGATAGGATGTGTTGTACTGCATCCTTTCCTTTAAAAAACAATACATTCCTTGATAGTCCTGTCGTACCTAGTTGTACTACATCCTTTAACATGAGTCATGCAACGAACCGCACCAAGACCATACGGATTCTTCGATGAGATTCGGGCGCCATGCCTTGAGCTTGCTGTGCGCCGATGCATTGCTGCCGGAGCGGCTTCAGGGGCAGCGCCCTGCCGAACGTGTCAAAACCCGAACGTATCTAGAGTCTAGAGTTATTTTTGTATCTTTTTGTTGAATGCAGTCTTGGCACACAAGACTTGCAGTGCACTGCTACTCCTTTTTGGTGCTTTTGCGCTGGTCAAGGCACTCCCAATTTCCTTTGGACATTTTTTGGCCGCAGAACCGGTGGCATTTATTTGCCCAAATCTTGCCCTTCACGCCTGTGACCTGGCACGAAGTGGCCCCAGTGGCCCCTCCTGGCAGAAGGGCCACTTGGGATCCATGTTCATCATTTTCGGCGCTACTAGGTTGGAGGCCATCGCTATTAGTAACAAAGGGCATCGCCACTAGGAGCAAGAAGCTACTAGGGGCTCCTTGCCTTACTACTAGTAACAAGAAGCTACTAGTAGCTAGAAGCTATTGGGTTGGAGGCCATCGAAAGTAGATTTTATTGGACCATACTTTGCGATCATGTCGGGACGTTTCGATCACGCGGCGCAAGCTGCAAATGGCCTAACAAACTTGACCCATCCTGGATGGTGCTTAGGGCGATCGGTTGTGGGGAGGGTCATGTTCTATCGTAGGAACATGTAGGAACGTTTCCAAGACGTCTCAAGCAGTGATGATGTGAAAGGATTGCGCTAGATGCATAGCATTCCAAGGCATTTAAAGCAAGCTACTAGTGGCATGCAAGAAGCTACTAGTAGCTTCTTGCAACTAGTAGCCATGGCCTCCACCTGGAGTCTGAGGTCCACCTGGATCAGATTCTTTTGGATATTTTGACCTTGGCAGCCCACTCAGCGTGAAAGGGCACAGCAAGCAGCATCAAGGCATCCAACAACATGCCATGTTCGGTCGTGTGGCACTTTCTCAAGGCTGCAGTTCCTCCTTATCCCTGGGGGCATCTCTTTTATCATGAAGTCCTTCGAGAGGCACTTGAACTAGGACAGGACCTCCAAAGCGTTCCAACTTCTTCCATTAAGCCTTTGTTTAACGGCAAGTGATTGTGCTGGGCAGCAGTCGCCCCCGCCCAAGGAGAGGTTCATGTACCACATCCACAAGAGAGTACCCGTCTTGTAGCTGCATCTTGCAAGGACACACAGAGGGCAACTTTGCTGAATTTGGCATTGGCCTCGGCGGCACCTCGCTCTTCTTTGGGCAAATGGCCAAAACCTACGGGCGACGCTTGCTGGCAGTGGCTCCTTGATTGACCTTTGAATCAATCTTTTTTGCCGAGCGCCGAGAACCCTCTTCAAATCGAATGCGCTTGTATTAGTAACAAGTGCCTTACTAGTAGTAACAATGTTTGCTACTAGTAACAAGTGCCTTACTACTAGTAACTAAGAATTTAAATACAAGCGCATTGTCGTGGTTGCGGTTGCCCTTGCTCGGTGAATGGAAGGACTCCTTCCGTGGCTTGCCACAGCCGGACCCGCTCCTTGACGAAGCCTACTTCGCCGCTGGCGACTTCCGGACTGATGGTGACGAGCCTTTGAATGGTTCGAAGGCCTTCCAGGAATTGCTGGAAAACTTTGGCCTTGAAGAACATGTGGAGGTTTTGACACTCGTTCTCAGATGGTCTTCATGACTGAGAGCTGTTTACGACAATTTTTTGTCCACTGATTTTGACCTTCATACTATCAGCCCCCAGTAATATGAGCCCCGCAAGCGTACAGGACAGGCTGGCGGGACACGTGGACTCCCTTCCTTCTTTCCTTCCTTCCTTTCCCTTCCTTTCCCTTCCTTTCCCTTCCTTTCCCTTCCTTTCCCTTCCTTTCCCTT